CGCGTCTGGGTCTCTCCCTCCGACCTCCCGGGCAGGCGTCCTCTAAGTGTGGCCCTGGGACGAGCAGCATCCGCATCCCCCGGAAACTTGAACTTAAAAGTGCAGCCTCGGGCCAGCTTGGGCTCTCTGGACCCGGCAAGCCGTGTTCACAGCCCCTCACCCCCACCCGCCGGGGACCCGCACGATCGCGAACTTTGAGAACCGCAGCTCTGGAGCACGGACACCGCCTGGTCCCGCTCGGTCTGGAGGGCAGACTGAGCAACTGGACGCCGATCCTGTCTAGGATCCTTCAGTGAGCGGATTGTTCGGCGCAGCCATTCACCTCTGGGGCGCATTGACTGTGAGGCGGGGAGGCTTATTCCTACAGGCAGCACTGGGGTTCTTTAATAAAAATTCTTTCCTGGAGGATGACCAGAAGTGACTCAGAAATTGACACAAATTACCTCAAAGAATTGATCTACTTAGCATCTCTTTAGATTAAATCCCAAATTGTTTACAAGAGCGGGAAAAGCGCTCTGATTGCATTGTCGACAGCCTCCGAGGGGCATTCAGCAACTGGTGTGGCTCCCACACCCAGCCTTCTGCTAGAGGACCCTGGGCCTTTGCTTTATGGATGTCATTTATCGGCTAAATGAAGATCCACTCAAGAAAGTGTTGGCTATTTTTGAAGATACTGATCTAAAAGTTCAGTAAAGGTTATTCCCATTTCATAGAAAGAGACTATTTCTCTGACCTAGAAAAATGTGGAAAAAGTTGAAGCCATGATATTTTGTCTTTTTTCCCAGAATATTCTTTAATATGTTTACATAATGCCTTCAATAAAATTAGAAACATGCATAACTCTGTAATGTGTCCTAATCCTGAGGCCCAAGTCCCTACTGTTCTCCTAGTGAAAAAGTCTAGCCTGGTGGCCGTGGCTTGTGGGAATGTCTCCGACTAGAAGTCCCCTTTTACAACCAGCAACTTTGAGCCACACTGTCCTTAACCCGAAGGCATGAGGGGGGAGATTTGGGAATAGGTTGACCAAGTCTCTCCAGTCCCATCTCCCAAGACCCTCCCACCTGCTTCTGACTATTTGCAAAGGCAGGGGGAACTGGTATAAGAGGGGGATCCTAGGGGATGGGGACTTCTAGGTAGTTGGTGGGTACATGTGGGTGGGTACACCTGGGTGGATGGGGATGGGAGAGGGTTTGAAAGCAGGGGTTTGTTCAGAGCCAACTGTGATGTGTCAAGAGCCTTGGAAATATCCTTTCTCTTTATCCCAACAATTTCACTTCAGGTATTTCTCCTATGGAAATAATCAGAGAGGCCATAAATGAACCACAACAATATGGGAGTAGTTTAAACAGGAGAGGCATGGTCACATGAGAGAACAATCTACAGCCACCAAAAGTGCCTTTTTCAAAGAATTTCTAATGATGTGAGAATTGCTCGTGATATAAGGTAAAAAAGCAACATAGAAAATGGTATTGTAAGATACCTACTTTATGCAAAACATACATTTTTTCTAAGTAAAAATATATAATATAAAATTATATATAAATACTATATTACACACACACACACACACACATGGACTAGAAAGAAATTCACCTAAATGTTAACAATGATTTTCTCTGGGTAGTGGGACCACAAGTGACATTTGTTTTCTACTTTATCTTTCTGTTTTCATTTTTTTCTATAATCAACACATATTCATTTAGAATTAGAAACATAATTTTAGAACCTACGATGTTTTAAGCATTGTGCTAGACTCAAAGATGAAGAAAATACAAAGACAAATTTTCTGTCCTGAGGGAACTCATTGTCAAAGGAGATGAGAGATACCCAGAAGTCAAAGAATCTGAAAAAGAATATATACATACACACATATATATAACTGAATCATTTTGCTGTACACCTGAAACTAA